CTGTGAAAAAAAAAACAAAGAGGTGGGTGTTAGATAACTCATTAAGGTACAGTGGAGACACTGCCGCTACACAGGTGTAAAGGTGTACACCACCTCGTGTCAACCATTTGCTCTTGCTCCCCTTGCAATGCCTGCGGGTTGGGAGCAAACACTCGGGGGGAAAACAGGATCCCGTGGGTGTCTGGATGTCCTGGACCCTGGTTCAGAAGTAGACACTTGCCCACCTCTCTCTGGCCCTGATGTAGAGGAAGCAGCCGTCCCAGTAATGAATGGTTTTCATACATACTGAGAACCACTTCTTCAATCTCACACTCCTGTCTGCCAATATCCTTTAACTTTTCCTTGACAGTCCCATAAATAATTCAAAAAATACGCCTGTCTACGAGTCCTTTCACATCCAACTACGAGCGTCATAATTAATTACATACCGTAACAACCACCAAATTACTTTGAAATAAGTAGCAGAAATGATATAGCTCTTACAGTCTAAATCCTAATTAATAATCGGCAGGAACACATCAAATCAATTAACAGTGTTACTGTTGGAAACAAAACAATAAAGGGAAGAACAGACCATAAAAAAACTTTTGCCTTCTCGTGGAAAATAAAACACAGAAAACTACCTTTCCATGCCCCACACATCGTAGTAAGTGTCGATACCGGCCTCCCCTCAGGAACTCTGAGTTGGGCGACGGCTCCGCACGATAGCCACTCAGGAACACCAGCCTTCTGCAGACTGGAGAAAGTGCTGACCAACAAGAGGGTCCTCAAAGATGTGGGGAAGCTTAGCCCTCATTACCAAACCTCATCGCTGGAGTCTTTTCACAGCGTCATTCTACGCTTTGCGCCCAAGAGTGTTGTCTTTCCTTTTCTTGGAATGCTATGCAGGTAAAGAGGGCTTTTTTTATCATTACAATTATGAGTATGCACATACATCCACACCAAAATAGGCCAGGTATGGAGCTAAATGTGTGTAAATCATAAATTTAAAACAAACCATTGACATTAATAAAGCTGTTTATTTGAAAATGAACCACCATTGTCTGAATATTTTTGGGAATGTGTACAATGTGTTCACAATCTTATTTTGCTTTTTATTTTTCCTCCCAAGACTGTACCTGGCAGCCCTGCACTTCAATGAAAATGCAGGGC